TGCTCTTGTTCTCGTTTCCCTTACTTCCTCAAGGTCTTTCCATCTTTGAACATCTGGGGCGGGGAGAGGGGGGGAGGATGGATGATTTGTCCCAGATGTACTAGCTGCATTTTCCAAGTTAAGTTTTTGTTTACCTCCTGTGCTGTTTCTTAGAGCTAAAGTCCTATGTTGTCTGTTTCTGTCTTCATCTGTGTCTTTTAAAATGTCTTAATTTACTATTGGCTTAAAACTTCATTAGCATGTTGCTTTCCTAGAGTAAGAGCCACTCAAGGTCAGCTCAGACATCCCATGCATCAGCAGTCTCTGGCTGCAGGTGTTTATTTATGGGATACTCTGGGAAAGGGTGTAATCCTTCTCTTATACCAATCAGTAGCTTAGGAAATTTGTGATCAAGTGATTGCATCTGGACCTGAATAATTAACAGCTGTAGATGGCCTAATTCTCTATGAATTCATCCTATCCCCTTTTGTACTCATTTAACTTTCAGCTTTTACAAGGTAATTTCATTGTGCATTGTGTGCAGACATATTTCCTTTTGTTTGCTTTAAACCTGCTACCCGATAATGAGATGCCTCCATCCTTACGTTACAGGTAATGCAGACTAATTCTCCAAACTTAGTAATGCTTTAGATGTTCACTCTACCCACCCCAAATGTTGTTCATGGCTCCTTATTAGGATATAACATTCTTCTGTTTCTTGTTCTTGTTCTTTCTCACGTCAGTGTTGCCCTGTCTCTATAGGGAAAAGAGTGTTTTCTCGTGTCCCTTGGCAGCACTGTAGCTCCAGTTCTGCCACTGGCTGTCACAGGCCACTGGAAGCAGAGCTTGGGAGGAGATAGGGGAAGGGAGAGACCAAACATGGGGCTTGTGCTGTTTTACTATAGTCCTATCCAGTGCTCTCCAGCTGCCAAGTAACACTAGCTAGCATTGGAAATCTGCCCACCGCTTTTGCGTCGCCTTGGTTGCTGAAAGCTGTGTGGAGAGCAGCTCCACGGGAACTTAGCAACCCCGGGAGCAGTGACGTGAGCGAGGCGAGGGCTTTCCCACCACCGCGTGGGTCGTCACCACTCCAAAATACCACCAGGCGCAGCTTTTCATACAAATAATGTTACGTCGCTCACCCCCAGGTTGCTGTACAAGCTGCCAGAGTATCCACCGCTGCTGGGCACGAACGCTTTGAGGGCAAGCCCAGTGCAGTGCTTCACTCGCTTTAGTCTCTCCTTTACACTGCTCCCCAGCTGCCCCTGCTCCAGCATGCAAAATGTTGCCTGGCCTGGCCTTCAGCTTGTCCAAGAGCCGTCCCTGGTGAGCCACTGTCTCTCATGTAGGTGCGTGGCCTACCCACCGTGCCAGTGGTCCAGCTGCCCACCGCTGAGTGAGCAAGCTCTTGTTAAATAGCTGCAACATCATCTCCTCCAGCGAGCCACCAAACTTCCCTACCTTGGGTCTCTTCATCCCAAAATGTACTGTCTCTGCAACCTGTCTCCACACTGACTTCTTCCTTTTACTGTGTGCAGCTTCTGGACGGCAGCTGCTCTGCCATACTCATGCCTGCAAAGCCCTTCCACAGCCTTAACTTTTTTTGCTTGCTTTCCTACAAGTGCTTGGAGAAGCTGGCACCTTCAGTGCCATTTCTTGTTAGCTGAGCTAAGGTGGGGGCAATGCAGTTCCTACCCCTGAAAGCTTGTTACTCTGAGACTGACTGACAAGCAGGCATGTGGTGGGATGGAGTTTAACTGGGAGAAGGTGTTAATGTGGCTATTACTATCTTTAAATACATGTAATATTCATTTTTTTCTGGTTGTCTCTGCAGAAAATAGTTCTTCAAAAATAGGACTTTTAAGCCCCCTTTTTTCTTCTGTTGAAAGAGAACATAAATGAGAGGAGGATGGGAGCTGACGCCCCGGCACAAGCACTTGCCATGCCGGGGCAGGAGGCCCTCTGCCCCGCTCTCACCACCAGCCTGCACTGTTTGCTTTAGAGGCTGCAAACAGTGACCCCCCCCTCCCCACCTCGTTTTACCCCTGCTCTTCCTGGGAAATGGAGGCAGGATGGCAGACTGCGGCCCAGGTGGATGTGGAGGACGGGGATGGAGGCAGGGGTGGCATGGCAGCACCTTTCCTGGGTGTAAGTAGGGGATGCTGTGTGGGGGAAGAGGCAGCTAAAGAAACCCTTGTCGGGGGCTCAGGGAAAGCAGCGTGGAGCTGTGTGAAGGCCAGAGGAGAGGTGGCTGTGGAGCACAGCCCTGAGCACCCCGAGGAGCCCATTGCTCGTGGTGGGGGAAGGTGGCAGGGGGAGCTCCTCGCCGGGTGCTCGCTCACCAGCCCGGCCGGGCCAGAGCACCT